AAATGGTATCGGTATTTTGTTTCATTCATCATATTTTTATTTCAATCAATTTTTTTTATATTTTTCATATCTTTTTAACCAGAGCTATCACGGATTCATCGTAGTCCGATTTTTCGTTAAATATACGAAAACGCTATCACTGAATCCGGATAGCTACGAACGTAGCATATACATACTATGATCAGTGATCGCATTTTCATAGATTTCACGAAAAATCGGACTACGATGGATTCATGATAGCCCAGAATAGTTTTGCTTTGCTTTGGGGTTTGGCTTTTTGCATATGTACATACTTATATTTTTCTTTCATTTCATATTATTTATTAGCATTTTTATCACTTTTTAATTTAACCAATTTTTCTATATACGATAAAAATCAACAGATTAACTCCTTTTAATTATTTAATAGGCGCTTGAAGTGGATGAGGCTCCTGGGAGTGGACGTTAACTCGAAGGCCAAGGAGTTGTATGTGTGCCAGAGGCATTTTTCTCCGAAATATCGAAATCTTAGGAAGCTATCAAAAGGGGCTATCCCCGACAAGAATTTTTGCGCATCCACAGTGGGATTAGCTAGATTAGATTAGATAATTTAGCGGGACACTCAGGTATAAGTGAACAAGTCACCCCAGTAGTTTTTTCAACCCAAATGGGAGAAGGGGAGGCTCTTCAACCCACTTTTTGTGAACATCCAACTTGTTCTTCTTTAGGAAATTCAACTTATGGGGTACGTAGCCAAGAGACGCAGACAGAGGCACAGTATTAAAAAAAGGCTAGTAGAAAAGGACGCAGAAATTTCACAATTGATGACCCCAGGTTTGTCTGTTCAGCGGCAGAATAACAGGCAAATTGAAGCTATATGCAGCAAAATTCCTCCACATCTCGCGGTATGTGTGAGAAACTGCATGAGGAATGATGGCCGACAACCTTCTGGTCGGCGCTTCGATAGAAGCTTAAAAACTATTGTCTTAGGAGTTAGGTTCACGTCCCCTTTAGCGTATAGGTATTTGAGACCCCTTTTTCACTGGCCTTCCCCAACAACACTTTCCACGTTTATTAAAGGTTGGCCTAGGCTCCCTGGCTGTTCCTCTAGCAGCATTAGATCCCTGGAGTTGCGAAGCCGAGGTTTCACTCGTGAACAAAAGTACATTTCGTTATGCCGTGATNTCACTCGTGAACAAAAGTACATTTCGTTATGCTGTGACGAAATGTCTTTGAAGACCCACTTGAAATATGACAAGAGTAGAGATTTTATCATAGGATTAGAAGACTATGGCGATGAAAATCGCACGTCGAGAATAGCGAATAGTGTTTTATGCATTATGGCCCAAGGCGTTGGGGGAGCCCCTTGGTCACAGCCCGTTGCCTATTTTTTCGTGCACAGCTCGTGCAAGGGTGATGTGTTAAGGAAATATGTATTTGAGGTTATAGTTCAACTCCAGGGAATTGGTATTCATACCTGGCAATTCGTCTGTGATCAAGGATCAAATTTTGTTAATTTCGGTCGTCTTGTAGGGGTTGCAGAAGATAGGCCATACTTCGAAGTTAACGGTGAGAAGATCGTATTTTTCTTTGGTTCCCCCATCTGCTAAAGAGTTCACGGAACTGCATCGAAAATAACAAAAACAATGTTAATTTTCGCGGAAATCCTGTTCAATGGGCAGATATTGTCCATTTTTATCAACAGGATGCCCATCGTGGTATACGATGTGCGCCTAAGTTGACTACGGCTCATATTAAGCCCACATCTTTTGAAAAAATGAGTGTTCGTTTAGCTGCTCAAGTACTGAGCAATACGGTCGCTAGTGCAATGCTATCTCTTTATAGTACCGGGAATCTTAACACGTCTCAATCTCCAAGCTTCTTAAATACTGCCGAATTCGTTCTATTCTTCGACCAACTCTTTAATATTTTTTCGTTTCGTTTCGCACCCTTGAAAGGGTGTGTAATGATCCTCTGATTCAAGACACTTCCTGGCAAACCTTTCAAAGTTTGCCCAGACCTAACATACATGACGGTATAAGAAACGGTATAGATGTCGATGTCGTTGAAAGCGACTTCCTGCAAAGGAACTCTTTTGCGTATTTCTGCGGATATATGTATTTTGAATATAATAAATTACATACTTGCTTGGAGCCATTACCCCGATTTGATGAAGGTGAAATTCCGGAAGAAGCATTTACTTTCACTAAAGAAAAGGAGTATGACAATTTAAATCGCGTGAAAGCTCCTTCTGGATTCATCGAGTTTCTTACAAAACTCGATGAAGTGTTAAACGAAAACTTCGATTCTTGTTGCCATTTAATTGGGTTTTCAAAAGCATTATTTGAAAAAGTGAGTTGCATAGAACCATATTATTGCTGCAGTAATTCAAATCCCGATATTTTAAAACACCTTTTTATTAGAATCAGGACATATTTTTCTTTAAAAATTTTTAATAAAGAGGCATGTACACCTGAATTTAAACATACAAAATTTTTGTGTATTGCTCACAGGTAGTATATATTTTTTTTAGTAGAATACGCACTCATTTTTTAAGAAGGAAGGTTATCAATTTATAATTTTTTTTTTGATTTTTTGTTTTATTTTGTTTTTTTTTTGTATTTTACCAGATAACTTGGTACCTCACGGGTAGTCTCATGCTAATTTGGTTTTCTGCCGATCATTGTCATGAACAAATGAACAGTACTCCTAAATTTTTATACATATGAGCATTGAAGTCGGTATTTTTTGCTTAAAAGTACTTATTATTGAGATAAAGTTTCGCTTCTCTTAACAGACTTCTTGACATACTTTTTCACATTTCTCGGGATTTTTGTTATTCTTCATTATTTTTATTATTAGTCATTTATAGGTTTAGGACTTACTGTGGGTGCTTTAAGATTCATTTTGTAAATATGTATATATAAAAACGATTGTGATATTTTATTTTGAATTATGAATTTTATTCGCAAAATTTTTTTATGTTTACTAGTTTTAAGAAAATTTGTTTTTTTTGGTTTTGCATTCTTTTATTGCATGCTTTAAAACATTTTTAATTTAAGTTATAATGGTGAAGATAGGCCTCCTGGGGAACCGAACACCTTTAAAAATCGGTAACGCGCCTATATGCATACCTCGAAGGTGGTGTGGAAAGTGCGTTCAAAAATTATTACAATTGTGTATTTATTTATTTATTTGTTGAATTAAATTTATAATAAATTATAAAATTTAATATTTAATTTCTTATATTCTTAATATGTAGTGCGAAAGCATCCACTCTACGATGTATACAATAAGAATTTGTATTATAATTTTAAACGTATTCTTTTATTGCATGCCTATGTACCCAAAACGTATGAAAAATTTTGTTGTTTGGGTGCTAAAACCCAAAGCCTCAGAATGTAAGCGTTTAAACTCAGATGAACTGACTAAAGTATTTTTAACTTACATAAATTATATGAGCTAACTAAAAAATAAAATCATTTAGCGTAGAAGGAAGAAAATATTTATCCGCTTTTAAAGTTTAAATAGTTTAAATAGTGATTTTTAGCTTTATTTTATGCAATCTTTTGATTTATAACTCTCAGTCGTAACTATAGCTTACTTCATATATAATCTTTTATGTACACATGCATACATAGTTTGAGTTTGTTGCATTAGTTTTATTAGCTTATTGTTTGTTAGGCTTAGCGACTCTTTGTTTAACGCCTCCCAGCGCACCTTTCCGTGCTCCGTTTACGATATTCTTAAATGCGTCTGCATGTTTTGCTCGTTTTCTGTCAAAAATTTGTATATTTTTGTTAAATAAGTAACGTTTAGTATAATTACCATCGAATAACTTACCTTTTGTTTAGCGTATTTCGACTTAGTGGTATGTACGCGAAGGGATCGAGCTTGCCCTTCTTCTTCATAATGCCTTTAGGTTTCTTAGTTGTATACTCGCTGCCGGCGTATGCTGAAGCCGCTTTAGATTTGCCAGATTTGGCCGACTTCGCAGAGTAGCCGGATTTTATTTATATTGCGTCACTACCGGAGGCGCCTAAGGGCCGATGAATACCTTTTCCACCGGCTACATATTTTGAAGCTGAAGTCTTACCCGAACGCATACTAATCGCATCGGTAGCTTTACGTTTGCGGCTTGTAGCTGGAAGTTCCTCCTCTTTTGTTTCTGTATTAAAGAGTGCGATAATAAGAGTAAATCACTTTTATGACTCCTTAATATAATCACGGTAGACATACCATCACTATGGTAAACTTCCATGCCGCGTTTAGGCGCTCGTTTTGCTTCAATCGCCTCGTCATCATCATAGCCACTTTCGCTGCTGCTGCTGTTGTCATCACCACCAGCACTTCGCAATGCTTTATCACTTATAATCAGTCTTCCATCCTCGGCGGTTTTAAAACCACGATTCGGATCCTTATTTTTGGATTTGGTGCTTCCAGCAGCACTTGCGGCGGGAAAATTTTCTAATAATGGACCAGGCTTTGAAAAAAAAAAACAAATGAGGGGGTTTAGAGCGGCTTTTTGTGATTCTAAATCTGAGACCCCCCCCTCCGGAGGCTTATAGTTTTTAAGTAATTCGTTGTTAAAGTTGTAAAAAAAAGTGCAATTTAACCTCACATTTTCCTTTGTACATCGAGTGAACTGAAATTGCGGTGCTGCCACACATCACAAAAAATGTGTAAAAAAAAGTACTGAAAAGGGAATCAACGAAAACGTAAATAATAAAGTGGACATGTACATATATTATATAGCTTTTTTATTAGATATTTTCACTATATATGGAAGAATTGATAAAAAAAGGCCGCAGGTGAAAATTTTCAAGATATATGGAAGTATTGGATTTTTTAGAAAAAAGCGCCGCAGGCGAAAATTTGTAATAAAAAATCGCGCGATTTTTTATTACAAATTTTCGCCTGCGGCGCTTTTTTCTAAAAAATCCAATACTTCCATATATCTTGAAAATTTTTAATAAAAAATCGCGCGATTTTTTATAACAAATTTTCGCCTGCGCGATTTTTTATAACAAATTTTACTACCTCCTTGTAGTAGAATAAACTCTTTGTTACCGAAATTTCCTTAAGCTCTTTAAACTTATTAAAAATAATAAATTCGTTTCTAATTGTACCATACTTAGTGCACTCAAAGATCAAGTGCTCAGCAGTTTCTATGGCGCTACAGCTGTGACACCAATTGGATACTTCTGGTTTGAATTTACTGAGATACTCTTTGCCATACGTTTTACCTACTATCAGTCTATTCAGTAGCTTTGTGTCATATGCGTCATAGTCCCAGTTTTTGTCCCTGAACCATGGTCTTTTTTCCCTGTTCATAATGCTGTTTACCATACTTTCGTCCCATCTGTTACTCAAAATTTTGACCTCATTTCTCCATTCAACCCACAGACAGTTGCTCACTCTATTAAGCATCTCACTCGGTGTCAGGTCTACTTTAAGCGTCAAGCACTGCGTCACTGCAGCTTTGGCCGCAAAATCAGCTTTCTCATTGAACCCGATCCCAACATGCGCAGGGACCCAAATAATGCGTACCTCCTCTAATACCGACCTTCCGATTTCATTATGTATGTCAGCTACAACGTAGTTGTTAGTTCGGTCACATTTTAGCGCTTTCACAGCCTGCAAACTATCTGTGAATATGCAAATTTTTTTGTCTTTCACTCTTTTTGCAATCACAATGCATTGCTTTACAGCGACCAGCTCCCCAAAGGTAGACGCGTAAGTTTCTTCTAACTTGTATAAAAATGAAATCCCTTGCCTCGTGTCATGCACCGCACAACCCACCACTCCTTCAGATACAGACGTATCCGTCGAGTACAGGTGAAAACCTTTACCCTCTAAACTACTCTTTTCCCCATAGTATAAAGCCTTCAGTTGTTCACTCGAAAAATTAGCTTTGGAACCTTTTAGCCTCGAGGAGACCAAACTCAGCTTCTCGTGTCTGCTAAATAAAACATTAGTATTCAACCTATCAAAGTAAGATTTGAACTTGTTGTATGTGTACCCGTAACTCGATTTCCTAGCATAGCTTTCCTCAACCTCCCTTTTCAAACTCGAGTTGATAAACCACTGCTTTGACATTTCTCTCGACGTTAACCATATAGCTCTTTTCTGCGGTGGAAGCTCACATGCAATTGCATATCTTGCATAAGTCGGCGTGTTTGGCGGAACCCCTAAACATCTTCTTAGAGAGTCATTTAATATGGTGCATAGCTGCTTATTATACCCCTCGGGCATGTTAGCAAAAGTGGTATTAGCGTACTCTGCTTTTGAACGAACAAAAGATTTGTACAGCTTTAATCCTACCATCGGGGTTAACCCAGATTTTATAGATGTAATTCTTGCCAGCAAATTTTTTCCCGGCACAATAGATTTCTTGACATTTCCTATGTGNCCTACCATCGGGGTTAACCCAGCTTTTATAGATGTAATTCTTGCCAGCAAATTTTTTCCCGGCACAATAGATTTCTTGACATTTTATATGTGCTCTTTAATTGTGGAATTAGCGCTTATTACCCTTCCTAACCATCTCATTTTTTCCACTTGCTCCACATTGCAAGCATTTACTCTCACATTAAACTGTTTTCTTCTACCCATCGCCATAACCATAAATTTTGTTTTATTTAAGTTGAACTTGAGACCCAACGATTCACACAAACTTTGCATTTCCGCAATTTTATTAGTAAACTCATTACTTGCTACCTCCTCATTTCTGCTGTGCGTTATTATAGCAAAGTCATCCGCATATTGAAAAAGATGAGTATTCTCATTACAGACAGAGTGCAGTTTTGCGGTATAAATGTTGAATAATATCGGAGAGAGACAGCTTCCCTGTGGCAATCCATTGTTTACTTCGACAGAGCATTTACCCAACGTAAGAATTCGCTTGGAAAAAAGATTTATAATCCAATCACAAATTTTTGGATTCATGCCATGTCGCATAAGTATCCTATGCAACATAACTAAATCCACGCAGTTGTACGCATCAGAGAGATCTATTACCCCCAGAAACACCTTTTCACTCCTGCACTTCCTATCTGCTATCAATTGAAGCGCTTCATTCATGCACATTGTTGCAGAACGCTGCTTCCTGTATGCAAAACTTCTTTGCGGTATTATGTTACCATCCTCCACAAATTTCATAATTTCTTCTTTAATTAGCATATTAATACATTTGGCTACAACTGAAATTAGGGAGATGGGACGATAATTGCAAATATTTTCACGATCCCTACCCGCTTTTGGAATAGGTACTATTCTTATATTTCTCCACTCTTTTCTTACTATATTTTTATTGAAGTGCTCCTCCAATGAATTCACAAACGCTTTTTTTGCCTCTACCGTCAATTTCTTTAACATTTCATATGTAACATTATCCATACCTGCTGCAGTCAATTTTTTTTTGCTAATTAGTAACTCAAAATCTTCATAAGAAAAATTTACCTTAACATTCGCCACTTTTTGTTGTTCAGTTATCATTTGAGCCCTATCCACAGTTGCCCCCTCAACCTGTCGAACCTGATCCTTCAGAAAGCTCAGAAACTTCTCATTGTTCTCATCCTCCCAATTGCTACAACAATACTCTGTTCCAACTTTCATGTTGCCAATAAATTTCCAGGCCTCTCTTGAATTCGAATTACAGTTGATTTCATCAATTTTCCTCTTGAAACTGCCACTTTTA